GAGGAGGAGAGGAGGGAGGAGTGAGGGGAAGGAGAGGAGGAGGAGGACGAAGGGGGGGGGAGGAAGAGAGAGGGAGGGAGAGGAGGAGGAGGAGGAGATGGGAGGAGGAGGAGGGAGGAGGAGGGAGGGAGAGGAGGAGGGAAGGAGGAAGAAGGGCGAGGAGGAGGAGGAGGCGGAGGAGGAGGACTGGTGCACGCGCCCCCCTCGCCCTAGCCAGGCGGGCGCGTGCACCGATCCGGGGCACGGCGTGGGCCTGGTGGCCAAGAGCGGTGCAGGTGCGCGGCCACCGTGCTGCCACGCAGCAGGGGCCCGACCACAGGAAAACTTCCACCAGAAGCCCAGCCCTGAGGTCTCAGGACGTTTCTTGATTTTGTGGTGTGGGGGCGTCACGCCTTCCATAGGGGAACGAAGAATGACACAAACATAAAAGCGCGGAGGTCCGCGCGGATTTCTCGGATCGGCGCTGGACCCCCCTGGCGGCGCCTCCAGCGCCGCCCCTCCGCGCGCCAGGGAGGGGGGTCCAGCGCCGATCCGAGAAGTCCGCGCGGACCTCCGAGGTGTTATGTTTGTGTCATTCTTCGTTCCCCGCTTCTACGGCTGAAGCATCGTAACCCGAGAAGCCCAGGGCACCCTGGGAGATGATGAGCTGCCCCGATACGCAACACGCAACAGGTAGCGTATTGATACGGAGCTCAACACGCAGACTGAACACGAACGTTCTGAGCACGGAAGTTTTGCACACGGCACGTGTTACGTTTCAAGACGTGCGCATCCGAGCAACTAAGCAGCCTGGGAGGCAAGCAGGGTGCCTCTTGGCATGGGCCTCCCCCTGGGCAAGCGAGCGAGCACGCAGCAGTGCAGTCGAAGGCACGATAGCACCGAGCATCAGAAGGGTGGGTGAAAGGCGGGCTCGATCAAGCACCAAGCCCGCAGCAGATGGATGTCGGAGGCCCTGGGCCCGGAGGAGGTCACAAGAGGCCAGGACCCAGGAAGCCCAGGGCACCCCGGGAGGCAAGCAGGGTGCTTCCTGGCACGGGGCCCCCCCTGAGTGGGCACGCCGCGCGCGGGGCGGAGGGGCCTCTCGGGTCACGGCGGGCCTCGGCCTCGAGCAGGCCCCGCGCTCTTTTCTAAACCAATCGCCACCGCCAGCCAGGTCTGAGGTCGGGCGTGTCCTCCTACAGGCAGATGTTGGACGACAAATCAAACATACACCACGAAATGCTCCCACATAGTCAACAAATCCGCCGGCCCCCTTGTGGGGCCACCAGGCTGTAGGCGCGGGTTCGCAGTTTCCAGTACCAGTTGTAGCTTGTAGTTTCCAGTGTTACAGTTCTGCTTCTTGCTGGTTACTGTAACTAGTTTATTGACCGCGCGAGGGGGGGGGAGGCCCAAACAGGATTTTTTAGCACCCCCTGGGCGCGTTGTCTGAATTGCTGGGGGGGCTCGAAATCGACACCCCTCACGCAGATCCGCGGGGTCAGGGTCCAAAAACACAAGGGATTTGCCACATTTCTGAAATTCGGTGCCACCCCTCACGCAGATCCGCGGGGTCAGGGTCCAAAAACACATGGGATTTGCCACATTTCTGAAATTCGGTGCCACCCCTCACGCAGATCCGCGGGGTCAGGGTCCAAAAACACAGGGGATTTGCCACATTTCTGAAATTCGGTGCCACCCCTCACGCAGATCCGCGGGGTCAGGGTCCAAAAACACAGGGGATTTGCCACATTTCTGAAATTCGGTGCCACCCCTCACGCACATCCATCGCAAGGCGTGGTAACCCAAACTGCGAGTACTCCCTCGGCCCTTTAATCCCAAGGTGTGGTAACCAAGCTCGTAAACCATACACGTCTTACCAATCGCCCTGTGTGGTAACCCCTCTTGTGATCAGTTGGTTTTGCCGATTGCGAATCGGCCTCGCATGAAGTTCCGATACTGCTGCGCGACAGCGCCAAAGCCTCATGACTTAGCTCTTCCATGGCCCATTCTCCGAGAGAGGGGGCCGGCGGCAGGGGGCGAAGCCCTTACGGATAATCAAGACATCGTTCCCAGACAATTTCTAGGCCGAACATGGCCACAGACCTGCCGTCCCGATTGCTTGTACGACGTGAGCACGTCTGGGACTGCCACCCTCCAGTGTTAGGTCGGGCATGTCCGCTGATTTTGGACGAAAAAGAACATGCAACATAATCAAACACAATCAAACAAATACGCAACAAAGCGTCCTCACACGATTTTGTGTAACTATTTTAGAATCTTCCTCCTGTAGGAAGAGGAGGAGGAGGAGGAGGAGGAGGAGGAGGAGGAGGAGGAGGAGGAGGAGGAGAGGCGCGGGGCCCGAGATCCGCGGCCGCGCCCAGGCGGGGCCACACTTCGTGAACAGCAAAGCCCATCTCTTACATCTTTTTATTGATCAGCTTACTTCTTACATTTCATCCCATATCCTTTGCTTCTGGTGTTTCTGCTTGCGCCTTGCTGGACCCGCGCCAACCACACACAGGACATGAGCCATGGCCTGGCGGGGGGCTGCCCGAACGCGTGGCGGCCGAGCGACCTCCGGAACTGGGAGCTTGCCGTGCTTGGGCCTTCAGCTGCCAGGCGGGCGGCGCGCCGCAGGCGCCGACTCGCCACCGAGGCAGCCGCGAGGCATGCGCGGGCTGGCGCCTGCAGCTTCGCCGACGCCAGCACCAAGACCGACAAGAGTGCCAACGGCAGGACCAAGCACATCGTGATCCAGATCAGCCCGACCCAGGTCGGCCAGGAGGCGTTCTGCATTCGAGGGCATCACGGTTCCCACCAGACCCCAGGGGCAATGGAATTACACAGAGGACACCGCGCTTAGTGGCCACTACGCTGACGACATCGGGTCTAAACTGCGGAAGGAAGCGACTGTCTTCGTGCTGGCGTTGGACTTGCAGATTCTGCCTGAAGCCGTGCCGATCGCATATGCGGCAGACCAGGCCTTCCCAGGAAGGGCCACCCGTGCCCACCGCGCCGCCGCCGCCTCTGAGGGCACCACCGACAGCGATTCCACCATCGAGAGCGACTCCAACCCGACTCGAGAGCCACCCTCCGCAGCCGACGCCACGGCAGCGCCCGCCGAGGAGGCTGCGCAGGCTGCCGATCCTGGACAGCCTCGTAGCCGCGCGTGGCTCCCGAGCTTGGCGCGCCTGCTGGGGCCCGGAGCTGCGCCGCGACGGAGGACGAGCGCCATCCGCTTCGACCTCCCAGGAGACTAACCGTGAGTGGCCCTCTCCCAACATTCCCCTCCCTCCCTGCCCGCCCACTTATATGTTCTTCCGTTCCTGCTGTCCCCCCTTATACTTCTCCTCCCCCACTCTTGTGGTCATGGAGGGATGGGGTGCTGGAGATTGGGCCTGGGAGGGAAGGGACGTCCGCATTCATATATATATATATATACATATGTATATATGTATTCGCCGCTGTGCTACCAGGCGACTCCCACCGCCACCAGAGGAGCACCGCGCCCAGGAATGCCCGTCGCCCTCTCCTCTTCACCTCGCCTTTTTCCAGCGGATGTCCCATGGCAGGGGTCATTCAATTCGAGGCAGCTGCTGCCTGTCGTGGGCAGGGATACAGAAATACCTCGACGTGCCAGGCATACGTCGGGCTGCCTTGCGCCACTACCGTCTCGTGGCACAAAAGGGCTGCGGTGCTAAACCCCCAAAAATATGGCAAACAGCACCAGCGAGCTGGACCCACAACAGTGACCCCTCTCGACCTTGGCAAGCGCTGTTCGGGTATTGGTTGGAGGTTACTGGGGTGAACCGCCAAACCCCAGACGCGACGGCCGACCGGGCCAAGCTTCTCACCGCCTGCCACGCTCTTGCGAGGAGGGAGCGGTTGGAGGGGATGTGGTTGGGATCGTCAGAGGACCGAGCTCGCCGAAGGCAGGTTCCGTCTTCGCTTCGACTGTGTTTCGACCGTCGAGATCCGCATCAACAGCCCTCTCCTCCTCCCTTCCCTTCATATCGTCTCCACCTGTCCTTTCTCTCTCGGCAACAGCTGCAGTATCGAACTACTTGCACTGTTGCGGGCAGTAAGGGTCTTGCTCTGGTGGTCCAGCCCAGAGCCTACAGCACTTGCTACCGTCAGCCTGCCGCCAGACCCCCTGGCGCCGCATCTCGCTTACATTCTATGATCAGTTAAGAAGATGCACGAGCCATTTTCGAACCAACTTCAGCCTACCGTCGGACAGGTCCGAGCGCTATCGTATCAGCGAGTATGCGTTTCATATACCACACGCGCCTCATATCGCTCACTTCGCTCCCTCTGGACCACATCCCCCCGCCACTGAAAAGCGGTCCACGCGAGGTCGCGTGGCGACTCGCGGGGTTAGGAGTGATGCATCAAGGCGCGCCCTGGACAGCCTGCCTTTCAGCTGTCGTTGGGCCCGCCTTGCCCAGGGGGATCGCCCACCGCGGCCCACCTCACCCCATATGTGTCTGTCGATGCCAGACCAGACTGGTTTCACCCTTCTTCCCGCCGCCACCGATGCAGGGACGAATGTCTGTCAACCGCATTTGGGCCAGTGAAGGTGGTGATCTTGGGGGGATTGAGAGGATCAGAGATGGGACTGGAGGAGGAGTTCCATTTTCGCCACAGCCTGCTCTTTTCACAGGTGGCAACGCTACCTCGCCAACCTTCCCCTTCTGCCTGCCCGCTCACTTTCCCTCTCGTCCTTCTCCTCCCCTCCCCTCGCTGGGTGCGCTTGCGCACAGACGAACTTGCTTGAAAGTGCCACGACGCCGGAATGGAGAGAGCGGCTGCCTATAGAGGGGGGGGCGGAGGGCGGCGAGGGAGGACGATTTCTTCTTGTTCGTTTCACCCCCCCTCCCTGCGGCCCGATCGGTGGCCACAGACTTCCGCATCTTGAAGCCACGAGTGGATGAGTGAGTGAGCGAGGAGGAGGAAGGGGAGGAGGGGGATGCGGAGGCGGAGGCGGAGGCGGAGGAGTGCTCTCCTCCCTCCGCGGGCGCGCGCCTCGACGTGCCGTCGGCGCTGGGAGCCCACGGCCTGCGCGCCGCGGCGCCGCCGCCCGCGGCCTGCGACGGCGCCCTCCCGAGCAGCGACGGCGCCGAGCTGGAGGCCCCCAGCGCCTCCAGCTTGCCTGCGGCAGGCTCGCGCGGCGTCGGCGCGCGCGACGGATTTCGACGACGACGACGACGACGACGAAAACAACGAAGACGACGACGACGAAAACGACGACGACGGCGTCGATCGTTCAACCTTGAAGCGATCGCGGCCCGAATCGTTCAAGATGGAATTTCGTCGGGTCCTGTGGCGTTGCCGTCTCGGTGCTTCCACGTCGTTTTATCATGCGGAGTGCAACCGTGGACGCCTTCGCAAGCGTCACCAGTGCGCCATCGCCGCGTGAACGTACCGTAGAGGCCTTCCAAATGGGATCGGAGTAGACGGGGTCGGAGGATCGCGCCGCATCGGCGGTGCATCGCCGATGCATCAGCGATGCATCGCCGATGCATCGGCGACGTCGGTGATGCATCGGCGACGTAAGCGTAGAGAAAATCGGGCTCCACATCGAGCCGCATCGCAGATGCATCGGCGATGCGGCGCGATCCTCCGACTTCATCTGCTCGGACCTTATCTGGGAGGCCTGGATTGCTTCCCGGCCGGCGCTTGCCGCCAGGAGCCGAAGGAATTCTGCGCGCTGGAGATCGGCCCAGACATGATCGCGTCGTTCCATCATTGCGACGTGAAGTGTTTGGCCAATTTTCGGCCTCTGAGGTCCTTGCGGGGCCCCGGGACCGCCAAAAACGATTCAGGATGAGAAACTGGTCCCGGGAAGGGGTCGGGACCTTAGGGACTCCGCATTGACAAAAATCAAGACAACGCATGTCTGGGAGCGCCTCCCAGATGGGGTCGGAGCACACGGAGTCGGAGAATCGCGCCGCATCGCCCATGGCAATGCATCGGCGACGTCGGCGTGAAGGAAAGCGGGCTCCAAATCGGGCCGCTGCATCGGCGATGCAGCGCAATCCTCCGATGTCATCTACTTCTTAGGTCGGGCATGTCCTCCTACAGGCGGAATTTTGGAAGAAAACTGGATAACAGTCGAATGGTACCCAAACATAGCCCAAAATAGTAGAAACATCGTCCCCAGACTAATTTTATATACTATTTTTGAATATTCCTCCTGTAGAGGGACATGCCCGACCTAATTCTACTCGGGCCATGTCTGGGAGGCCTGGATTGCCTCCGGGCCGACGCTTGCCCTGCGCCTCGGCCAGACTGCACCCCATGCAATCGCGAGGGCTTCTGACGCGCTGCGCGGGAAGGCCATGCACCTGCGCACGTGCCCTGCATGCCAGGGGAGGAAAGGACGATCGTCCTTTGTAGGACAGGTCCTGCAGGGAGTGGGTCCCGAGTGTTTGGTGATTTTCGGGCCCATGGGGCCCTCCCCGGGCCCCTATGATTGTCAAGAAACGGCTCGGGATGAAGGGCTGGTCTGGGGAGCGGCCCCCGGATCCAGGACCCGTTGCCCTCGGGACCCGCTTCCTTCACGATCATTGAGACAGGTCCGCCTCCTGTCTCTTCCCTCCCCCTTCCTCCTCTGTTTGTTCTCCTCCTTTCTCCGCCCTACTTTGTTTGTTTTCCTCCTTTCTCCGCCTCCTCCGTTCTCCCTCCCCCTTCCTCCCTCCTCCCTCCCCCTTCCTCCAGCCGCCGCCCCAGCCCGAGAGGATTTCGGGTGCCTTACCAGGTAAGGCGACCTCTCGTGCGGGGCAGCTGCTAGACGCGCCCGCCCTCCCCGCGCGCACCGCCACGGCGCGCAGCAGGAAGGCCAACCGTGATCGAGGCGAACCGACCTGGCACCGTCGCGCCAGGGCCGACCGCGGCAGAGCCAGGACTCTGCTACGCGTAGCCGCCGCCAGCGATTTGTTGAACAGCCATCACACCAGCATGACTTGGACATCCCAGCGTAGCAGGCAGCCCTCACGCTCGCGGCAGTCATCACGCCGAGGAGCACCATGGCAAGGACAGCAGTAGCAGCAACGCTATCTCCGGGAGTGTCCTGCATGCAGCTACGCCAACAAGCGGGAGTTTACGAAGCGCGCGCAGTGCAATCCGCAGAAGCAGAACAACATGCACAACAAGGCAGACTCAGCTTCCATGTCTGCTCCATGGAAGCGCTCAGGCTCCTGTCGTCCACCGAACAAGGCCAACGAGCACGAGGACGCGGTGAACATCCTGCCGTGCTCCCCCGAAGAGGCCAGGGCACACCGCCGCTAGCAGGAGCCGCCGTCCACCAGCCCCCAGGAGCTGGGCGAGCTCCGCAAGGCGCTGGGCTCCACGCTCGAGGGCCTCGAGCGCCAGATCCTGTGTTCGCAGGAGCTCCGACTGGACGAGGCTCAACTCCAGGCCCTGGGGCTCGAGTATTCGGTCGTGCTCTACCAGCTGATGTACTCCACAGCACCTGGCGCAAGGACGGCGAAACAGCTGGGTTTCGTCAGTCGTGCCGAGCGCAGGCTCGCCGAAACCACCAACGCCCAACGGGAAGCCGAGATGTACCTTTAGACGTGCAAGAACCAGTCGCTTGCACTCTAGAAGGAGCTAGACTTGGCAGAAGAGCTACTAAATCATTTTCGGGAAATTGAAGAAACTGCTGCTTAAGAAAAGCAATACCGCAAGGCAGCAGAGGCCGCTCGCTCGCCAGTGACCAAGCCTCTGCGACGTCCGCGCGCCTCAGACTACATGGATGAGGATAGTGATGAAGACCTTATTCGTGCGCCTCTCCCAGCCGAGGGCACGCTCAGACAGCGACGCACGTGGCCTACGACGCCCAGTAGAGCACCCCCTGCTTCGCCGCCGTCGGGGCCGCGAACTCCCTGCACGCCGTCTACCGGTTGCCCGCCTGGAGCTTCACCGAGTTCGGGCTCACCGGACATCGGACCAGGAACTTCAACGCCGGGACTCCTTGCGAGTATGCGGCATTCTCAGCAGACCCTGTTGGCCCAGTTGTTAAATTTCAAATCAGCCATGACAGAGATGCAGAAACAGCTCACGGAAGTCAATAGATTGGCTGCAAACAAAATCGAGAAGCTCTCCAAAGCCAAATCGCGGCCCTGCAGGAGCCCAAGGCAGCGGCAGCATCGCCTGCCAAGCAGAAGGAGCAACTACCACCTGAAGTTCGCGCTGAATGCCGCGGCCGCCTTGAGGAGGCACTGGCCAAGGGAGCCGCCCAGGACACCCGCGCACGCTCTACCTCGCCCAGACGCCCCAGTGGGCAGTCGGCCCCCAAGACGGCGAAGATCAACATCGGAGAGGCCAGGGACCCTCAGCATGCACGACCAGATGCGCCTCGCCCAGGGGACGTGGCCGCGGGAGACGAGGTGGCCGACGAAGTGGCGCTCAACGGCGCCGAGGCTGCTGCCGCTGCTGCCCAGGCGCGGCCCCCCGCGGCCTCGAGCGCAGAGGCGCCGTCGGACGGCCAGCTTTTTCGCTGAGCCCCGAGCCCGCAGCGTCTGTGCTAGCTGCTAGCTGCGCGTGAGGGGCGCCCAGGTGACAATTCGCACAGACTCGTCCAGGCCCCGCTGAGTCTAAATGCTTGTTCCATGCCCCCCCCCCCCCCCCCCCCCCCTCAGCAGCTCTTACTCCGGCTGGAACCACTGCGGACCCAACTCCCTTTGAGCTTGCCATGCGCTCCCCACCGCTACCAGTTGTTGAAGAAGTTGAAGGTACTACGACAGCCCCATTGGGGCCCACCAGAAGCATTCTACTGTCGCCTTTTCCCAGTCTCAGGTCCACGCAGGAGCTCGTAGAGCGCCCCTGGCCCATTCAACCTTCGATGGGCCTCCGATTGTGGGACCCTTTTTGGCACTCGTCGACTGCTCAGGCTTGCCCCGGTCTGCTCCCGCATGATCCCACGGTGCAGTGCGCCATCTAGGAAACTTACACGGATGCTACCGCAGGGGGTTACAACCACAACGAGCGAGTATGCGACTGGGCGCTTTGGATTCATGTCATCTCTGCGTTAGCCGCTAGGTATCACTATGCTCGGCCACCTAGCAGGTCCGCTGCCTGCTGAGTGGATGGACATCCAAGGGCCCGCTCGCACCGCTTCGGGCAGAGCTGGGGGCCGCCATCTGGGCCACGGCCTGGCGTTTGCAATCCCCCCTGTGCTCCTTACCTCTGCGTATGTACACGGAAAACACGGATGTACTTCGCGCGTGCTGGGGTGGGTCTGTGCAGGGTGCTTCGATTGCCACTAAATCGTTGTTGGGCAGTCTCACGCAGTGCGATTTTCGAGCCTTTCAGCTCGGTGCAGTTCCACGATGCGAAGGGTCACATCGCCAATCCTTGGAACGAACGCGTGGGTGCCCTAGCCAGACTCTACGCCATGCAAGTGCTCCCCACGTTCATTGAACCGGTGTGGCGTGCGCTGGTGGGGAGGGGGCCACATGTCAGCGCGCCCCCGTGGCTATGGCTGCGCTATGCATCGCCAGAGGTCCGACGGACTCACCCTCCAGAGACCTCCAGGGGCTCAGCAGCACGCCCCAAGTGCCCAGGCCCCTCTCACGGACCTGACGAAGATCATACCGGAGCCCAGGGCCAAGCACAGGCGCCCCATCACCAAAGCGATCTCGGGCTGGGTTGCTACTGCCGACGTCCTAACTATGGACCCGTAAGCCTTCAAAGGCCAACGTCAGAAGCTGAGACCAGCGGGCCTCAACATCACGGGCCGCGTGATGCAGCTTTCGGCAAAATTTGCCACGAAGCCGTACCTGCTAGTGGGTATGGTGCACGTATGCGAACCACGGGGGTCACTACTGCTGGGGGCTATCTTGTGCTACATGCCGCAGCCGTCCCTACAAGAGGAGAGGGGTGCCCCCTGTGGACAAGCGCATCCATGAGATACGCACCTGGCTGTCATATTGCGACGACATATTGTTATGTCACACATGCCTCCCCCAGGGTGTTGCTTGCGGCGATTCGCGCTCCTTCTCTCAGCCTCTGCGTCTGCGTCGCACGCGCTCCTCACTCGCGCCGATCGCCGGGCGAGATCGAGCAATGGCGGCAGGATTAACAAGTCCTTCGCCGCGCGCAGCGCGGGGACGCAGAGCATCATCACCCTCGTCAATGCGAGCGCAGCGGTGGGCTCGCGCCCTGATGCCACCGTCGGCGCCATTCACCAGGGAGAGGAGCCCTCCCAGGAGAGCGTTTCAATAATTTATTGCACCATACTTGTCAGCAGGCCCCATCCACCTTCCCCGCGGATCCCTCGGGCCAAGCGGGTACCTGGCAGGCTCCCGGGGCAGGAACCATTGCGAAGCGTCGAGACTGCGTCGCTCTCTCGACCGCCCTACAGATCCAAGAACATGGGATCGACACTGATATCGATCTTACAGTATCGCAACTGGATCACATGGTTGCGGCGGCACACAATGCGCCCCCACCTTCCGGCTTCGCCCCTGAGGGCCCCAGGCCCTACAAGATCCCACGCGAACCTGCTTTGTATGACGACCCAGTGGCCTGTCAACTATTCCAGCATCTGCTGACGCAGTTGGCGCCTGCCGACTTTCGCGTGCATGCGCTACTGGCCATGCCAAGGAGTGTGACGATCACAGACGCGAGGCCATCGAGATAGCATTCCCCGCGCGCTCGACCCCCACAGGGAAGGCCCCCAGGCAGAACTGGATCAGCTATGACACCCTGGAGCTGCAAGAGGAACGACCGCTATTTCTGCGCCTGCAACGACAGATGCTGCGCAGAGTGCAGGATGCCAGCTTGCGCGTTCTCTGTTCAGCTTGGCGGCTTCTTCGTGCCGCGCAGCCGAGGTGGCGCCTCACCGATTGCGATTGCGCTCAATGGGCCAACGCCAGCTTTCCATACCTTCCTCTTCTGCACCGCGAGGCTGATGCGCTGCTGGAGGTAGGCAGCCTCATTCCGAAGGAGACTGCTTCTTCACTTTGCCGCCAGGCGCAGGTCCGATGCCAGCAGGGTGCACGACGCAGGTTGGGACCCCTCAGGCTCCTCGCCAGGTACTGTTACGACGACATCGGCGCTGTCATCACTTTTGCCAAGTTGCCACCACTGGCTCCATGTGGCCCCCACTACTGGGTATCTGGGATTTCTTGCAGGATACTAAGGCCCACTGGCCCACAGGGACCCAATATTATATCATACCACGGTTTTGATCAGACAGGGGACCGCGGACGATGCGGCGTCCCACTGCGCCAACCTTGCGAAGGAGGTCTCAAGCGCCTGGTCCAAACATCAATGCGACGTTCTGTTTGCCAAATTACAGGGGATGGGCATTGGCTCGCAAAAGCGCCTCTCATCACGGGCCTTGCCTACTATTGGAATGGAGGACGGTACCATGGCCACCAACCCAGTGGAGGCGGCGGACAGGTGGCCTCGCCATTTTGCAGATGAGGAGGTAGGGATTGTCGTCTCCGCGCCAGAGGCCCAGGCGATCCAACAGTTGCTCCCAGCACTACCTCCCAGCCTCACCAACGGATATACCCCCGCAGGAAACTGTCCTACCCACGCTTGCCTCCTTTCAGCAGGCCTGCACAACGGCAAAGGCCTTAGCAGCCAGCCTGCGTGTGGCCGACCGTCGCGTCGGCGGTCACGTGCGGCCCCCAGGCAAGGCGAAACTGCGGCCCAAACTTGCCTCTCGCCCGTCCTGCGCCCACTCAGGCACCGCCTGCTCCTCCTGCGCCGGCGCGCCGAGCGCGTCCTCCGGCACGCTGCTGAAAGCGCGCATCACTCCGCGTGTGCCAGGGCCTCCGAGCGCAGCAGAGGGCGTGGTCTGCCTGACATTTGTGCTGCGCCGCGGCGTCGGGCACCCTGGCCCTCGAGCAGGCGCTTCACGTGGCAGGAATGTTCAGCGGCAGGCCAAGGCAGACGTGAACAGCAGCGGCGACCTCGTCGTCTGTCATCCATTCCTCGTCCTCGTCGGCTGGCAGCAGCCCGGTACCCGTTTCAGGGCCCCCGCCCGGGTGGAGGGGCGCCTGGTCTTCACGCGGGAGCTCCTCAGGCAGCGCGTCCTTCTCCAGCTCGGACAGGGCACGCCTAAGGCGACTCTGCAGGTGGGCCTGGGGCTGCGTCAGTCCGGGGCGCACGTCGTCCTGCACAGCCAGACCTGCTCGCTGCAGCGTCGCCGTCGCCGCGTCCACGCTGGCCGCCCGCCGCGGTAACCTCGCTCCGGCCTCTTCCAACGTGCTCGACTTGATGGCTGTCGCCACGGCTGGGAGCGCGTCCGCAGCGCTAGCCAGGAGCGCCGTCGGCGCGGTCCGCTTCGCGTCCGGAAGCCCCAAGCCGCCATCATCCAACGACAAGCATGACCAGCGAAGGCAGGATGGGTCCAGAGAAGCAGAGCCGCACAGGGTGGTCGTCACGGTGGCCACTGGGGCGTCCAGCTGCGTCAAGGTGTGCTCTTCGGCCGGCAACGTGAGCATGTGGAAGTTCACATCTGCTGGCACGACCGTGCGGAGGAGGCACAACACCTGGTGCCTGCCCAGACCTGCCAGGGCCAGCTGCTGGAGACGGTCGCAGGCGCGCCGGCGCTGGTCCAGGAGCCTCTGCCGTACCTGGACCGCCGCCCCCATCATGCCCAGGGCATCCACGCCCAGGGGCACGCAGCTGGCTGCCGGACTCTTGCCAGTGGGAGCCGTGCCCACGTGAGCGGCGTCTCGAATGCAGGCTCTGGCGCACCCTTGGGCTCCCAATAGGTTGTCTTCGATACCGCCGGAGTCCCGGCGCCTCGGCGAAGGCCGGCGTCGCCGCTCCCACCGCGTCCAGGAAAGCGGCTGGGCGCGCCGCCACGTCGACGTCGTCCATGCGGGCGGCAAGGTGCCTGGGCGCCCCGCCTGCAAGGTGCACTGGAGCGTCAATCCCCAGCGCGAAGAGCAAGGCCGAGAGTGCACCGCCTCACTCCCTCCCTCCCTCCCTCCCCTCCCTCCCTCCCTCCCTGCCTCCCTCCCTCCCTGCCTCCGCTCCTCCGCGCTCCCCTCCTCCGCGCTCTCGCCTGACGGCCGCCGCTTCGGCGAGCGCCCCGCGGGGAGCCCCGGCACGAACGGGACCTGAAGCCGGCGGCTGGTCGGGGAGCCGCTCGGGGACCTGGGGGACGGGGACACTTCTCCTCGTTATCTTCCTCGTCCTCGTCGTCGTCCTCCTCCTCCTCGTCCTCGTCGTGCTCGTCGCACTCTTCCTGCTCCTCCTGCTCCTCCTCCTCCTCCTCCTCCTCTTCGTCCTCTTCCCTCTCTGTAGCCATCCTAGCTGGCCTCCTCCCCTCCCCGATTTCCTCGTCCTCCTCCTCCTCCTCCTTCGCCTCCTCCTCCTCCTCCTCGTCCTCCTCCCTCACTGTAACGCGACACTTCCTATGAGCGTAGTGTCCTCCCTTACTGTAATGTAAGCCTTCTAGCTGGCCTCCTCCTCGTCCTCGTACTCGTCCTCGTCCTTGTGACGTTCGGCAAATTTAGAACGGCCTGGCAATGAAATCGTCTTAGGAGCTGTGGCCAACACAACAAACTGCAAGCCAGTGCGGACGGAAACATGAGCGGGAAGACACGGAAAACGAAGAGGAGCCCGCATGGGCAAATTTGTCTAATTAAGCAAGCCGGGACGGACGAGAGGGAACACGACCATAACCATAACCATACACATGACACCTCTCTCCGCCCTCTTTCTCCTCGTTCTCCCTCTCTGTGAACCTTCTAGCTGCCCTCCTCGTCCTCGTCCTCGTCCTCGAGCTTCTCCTTCCCTTTCCTCCTCCTCCTCCTCCTCCTCTTCTGTAGGCCTTCCTCATTTTGGAGTGCCATGGCGGCCGACTTGGAAGGCAAGTGTTTAACAGTATGGCTTTCCTGCTGACCCCGATGCCACTCCTCCTGTGCGACATGCGCCTTTCCACTGCTGAGCCGATGCCTCGTGAGACGTGTCTTGCGAACGAGCGGGCGAACAGAGTTGTTTCGCTGTCCTCGGCCTCGGAGGCCTTTCTCGGGCTCTGGGACCGCCACGACATCGACTACACGCAAGAGTGACCCTGTGTAAGAGTGACCTTTGGTGCGCGGCTCTTTGGGGGCCGTGGGGAGGCCAACACACAAGCGCGCAAGACGCCACTGCCCCCGCTCGTTCGGCGATCGGGGGACCCCAGTGGGCCCGCACCAAAAGTCACTCCAGCGAAGAGTTACCCTTGTGTTGTCAAAACAACAAATGCAGGACGAAACGCCGGTCCCAGGGAACGGGTGGGGACTTCCGGGGATCTCACCTTGAACAAAAATTACAACGTCGCATGTCTGGGGGTGGGAGGCCTAGAGGTTCGAGGATTGAGGTATTGGGGCGTTTTTGGGGAATCTATGAAACCTCCTCCGAAATGCTGGCCAGAACCCGCCTCAGGCCAGGTCTGGGGGTCGGCTTCGAGATCCGATGATCCAGGAGGAGCAGCGTTGCTAGACGGTTGACGACTTCGCCAAGACACTCCAGTCAGAACGCGTCTCCGGACAGGTCCATGGGGGTCCATGATGCGGGAAGGGAGCCCAACCTCTTGCGCCCCCCAAGCAAAACATGATGGGCCTGATTTCCACCACCACCATAAGTTGGATGGGGGGAAGGAGGAGGACGATGAGGGAGAGGACGATGAGGGGGAGGAGGAGGAGGAAGAGGAGGAGGAGGAGGAGGAGGACACCCTCCCCCTCCAACTTCAGGTGGTGATGGTGGAAAACAAGCCCAGCAACAAAAAAAATCCGGCCAGGCTGCTTTCCGTATCTGAAGCCTGCAAGAATCAGTACGTCGGACCGCCGGGCCATCCAATCACGACCCGGGCCTAAAATTAGGTCGGACACGTCTCCCTACAAGAGGATGTTGGATGAGAAACAAGAAATACCCAACGCATGTACAACAAGTGCACAACAAACCGCAAAAACACGTCCCCAGACTATGTGTTGACCAGTTTTGGGATATTCCTCCTGTAGAGGGACAGGCCCGATTTGAGCCGAAAACGAACTGCCCCAACCCCCAACGAGTGGGCGCAGAGCTCCAGGGGGGGCCCGCGTCACGAAGCCAGCCCAGCGAAGGGGCTCGACCCTCTGCGGCTGCACGCGGCGCTGGGCGTGGCCCCCCTCCCGTGGGGAGGTGCCGATGGCGGGGAGCTGCGGAGCCAGCCTCGCAGGCGCGAGCGCGCGGAGCTCCCGGCGGGCCACGAGAGCTGCGCGGAGCGGGGCGGGGCGGAGGCCCGCGCGTGCGAGAACGCGCCCGCGGGGGCCGCACATGGAGCTCGGCTCCCAGGGCGGGGGCGCGGCCCCGGCGAGGGGTGTTCCGAGATGGGTGGGGGGACGCTGTGCTCAGGTCGGGCATGTCCTCCTACACAGGCGGATGGTGGACGACAGATCAGAATAGGCAACACATACACCAACATAGATAAAACATCGTCCAATCAGCGTCCCCGGCCTTCTTTTTTGGACAATGTTTGAATACTTCTCCTGTCAGGGGGTATGCCCTACTTGACGCTATGCGGCCAACCCTTCTGGTGCCGCAGGTGGAGCTCCCCACGGGGGCACGGCGCGTGCCAGGAGTGCTCCAAGCGGAGCGGGGCGGCCACCCCCGCTGGACCCATGATTAAGTGCGGCTCCCGCGGGGCCCGATCTGCGAGAGGGGTGTGCCGAATCAGGCGCGGAGCTGCGGATTCCAAGCGAGGGCCCAGACGCCACAGGAGAAGCACAGAACACGAGAAGGAGAAGAAGGGAGGAGGAGTGAGGTCGGGCGCAACGCTGCAGATTCAAAGGGAGTGCCTAAGCCCGCAGGAAGGCTGGGAAAAGGAGGAAGAGGAGTGAAGAGGTGGGACGCGGCGCTGTGGATTCACTACGAGAATTCCAACTCAACAAGATAATTAACTTAGGTAAACAAGAAGGCGGGTGACAAGGAGTGAGGAGGTGGGCGCAGCGCTGCGGATACATAACGAAGACCAAACTCCACAAGAGGGTTGTGAAGCACGGAAGAAGGAGGAGGAAGAGGAGGAGAGAAGGAACGAGGTGGGGCGCGGCGCTGCGAACTCAAAACGAGGACCGAACTCCAAAGAAGGACTGGGGACAACTAACGACGCTGAATGTCTGGATAGAGAGGGGTCTTCGGAGTGGGCGACCAGGGAGGCCTTCTCCTTCTCGCTTCCCCCCGCGCTCGCCGCCGAACGTGTGCAGCTCTGGGCAGCTTTGCGCACCCCTTCTGGGGGAAGGCAACTTTGGGCAACCTTTACTTCCCCCGAGCTTGCCTTGGCTTCCGCTGGCAAGGCCGCCAGAACTTATGTTGTTCCCATCGTACTCAGGGACCGCATCCCAGAAATAATTCCGAGCACCCAGAAAAGTATCGAAACGGTGTCGAGCGACTATCGCCTCCCAGGGCCCGACACGTGAAAACCATCAAGTATCGGTACATTCTTGGTGCTCGAAATTCTTTCTGGCGGTCCAGGCTAAAGTAGGTCGGAACATCATAAGCCAAAATGTCTTACGACCGCTGGCGTCCTCCAGCCTACCGGCGGCTCCCGCCGCAGGGCCAGAGATGCCACCTCCTATAGCACTTACTGACTGGAGGCGAGACCCCTCCTGGAACGGCCCGACCTTGGAAAGAGCTGGGCAATCTTCTTCGCGGTGAGATCCTGGGGGAACGAAAATCCCAGACCCCTCTAGAAGCCTCGCAGATGGGGCGTGAGTAGATGGGGTCAGAGGATTGCGCCGCATCGACGATGCATCGGCGATGCACTGGCGACGTCGGCGATGCATCGGACAAGTCGGCGTGAAGAAAATTGGGCGCCACATCGAGCCGCATCGCCGATGCATCGCCGATGCATCGGCGATGCGACGCGATCCTCCGACCCCATCTACTCGGACCCCATCTAGGAGGCCTGGGCCCTCGCGCTGTGAAGAAATCGCGACGGTAAGCTTTTCTCTATTTTCGGCCTCCGGGGGTCCTTGCCGGGCCCCGGGACCGTCAAAAGACGACTCAGGATGAGAAGCCGGTCCCGGGGAAGAGGTCCAGACCTCTGGGGGTCGACTTTGCGAACAACTCACGACGTCGGGGGTCTGGCATGGGCAGCGCGCGCACATGGGGGGGGATTGGGGACGGGCGAAGGCTTCCAAGAAGCAGGCAGCTTCTCAGAAGGCGCCAGCCCTACATCCACAGACGGGGCCCGCGCCCTCTAAGAAACAGGAGCGCTGCCAAGAAGCCTCCCCCCCTCAACCATGCCGCACATCGACCGAGCGCTGCACCATTTCTGCTGCGTACTGGCACCTCCACTGCACTGCTCTGTTGCTCCCTTCCCCCGATCTTAAAGGACAGCGATGCGATGTGTTGTCCGCGCCAAGTGGTGCAAGATTTTGTCGGTGTCGCATACCCCCCCTCTGCGCGTGGCCGAGAGAAGACGCCGATGCCGCTGCTCCCCGGACCTCTCCAGGCGCGCCTGCTGGTCAGGGTCCCGAGGCCAACCTGGCGGCGGCGACGATGCCCCCCCCGCGAACCCCAGGATGCGCCCCCCAAAAGCGCGAAAACGAGGGAGGGGAGGAATGGACGACCGACGCCTATAGAAACACCAACGGCAGAAACCTAAACTTCTCAAAAGGTCCGCGCGGATTTCTTGGATCAGCGCCGATCCCCCCTCCCTGGCGCATGTTTGTGTTGTTTGTTCTTCTTCGAACGCCGCTATCCCAGCCCCCCCAGAGAAGGAGGGGTCCAGCGGCGCTACCCCTGGCGGCATCGGCAGCTATGGGTCATGGTGCCGATACCTTTATTACAGCGGTATCACGACCTTCTCCTTCTCTGGGAGGTGCTCGACGTACGCACCAAGTCGTCTGGTCGGCCAAGGGAGCTCGGTGTATACCCAGCTTTCGAACCTGTGGGACGCTGGCGGGTCTACACCAACCTCGTTCGCCGAACTCCTTGGCTCCTTGGCCGGCCAAGCGACGTGACGTGCGGTCGGACATTTTTGGATAGCGCGTCGCGGCGGCGGCCCTGCTGGCACGCTACGCTTTGCCAGCGGATGGCGTGTCACTCCGCTCCGCGGGGCGGGATGCTGGGAAAAGCTTGGGACGTAGACGCTCGGGAATGGGGACGCGGACAGCATGTCGCTCCGAAGCGCGGTGGGTCAGAACCAGCGGAGCGACACGCTATCCAAAAGTTCGTGACCATATACGTCGAACCCCTCCGACCCTCCCTTGGGGAGACCAAAAGGTACCTATACCGCTACTCCCTGGACCTCTCCCAAGGTGCGTTCTGACCAGAATTTCGAGGGGAATCCAGCGGTGGCGACGAGGGCCTCCCAGGAGGCTGAAAAACGGGAAAACGGGCGAAGGGCAGCAGTATGGGTACCTCCTCCTCCTCGGATCCCCGAGGTCCACGACTGGCTGGTCCTCGAGCTCCACGCCGTCGCCTCCCCGCCTCCGGCGGTGCCTGTGGGCGCCCGCCCACGGCAGCCTCGCGGCGGACGCCGTCTGCCTGGGCCTGCCCTCGAGGATGTCGGGCAGGATCATCCACTCGGTGGAGACCTCGACCCGTGCTCCTCCTCCTCCTCCTCTTCTTCTTCCTCCTCCTCCTCCTCCTCTTCCTCCTCCTCCTCCTCCTCCTCCTCCACATCATCATCATCATCATCAGCATCATCATCATCATCATCATCATCATCATCATCATCATCATCATCATCATCATCATCATCATCACCAACACCACCACCACCATCATCATCATCATCATCATCATCATCATCATCATCCTCATCATCATCATCATCATCATCATCATCATCATCATCATTATCAGCATCATCATCATCATCATCATCATCATCATCAACATCAGCAGCAGCATCATCATCAGCATCATCATCACCATCATCACCATGTTTTTCATTCAAGTAGAGTATAGCAGGCAGGCATATGCATACCAGAACTTACTGATCATGTACATCCCTGGGCCCCAGCTACATGCACTACAGGTCCTCTTCGTGAATCTGATATGGATCCTGCATGTCATCATGAATCTTAGGCCCCAGAACAACTACGGGCACACCTTCTCTCTCATCTTCCGCCGTCGCCATCGGGTTCGCTGCTCAAACCAGTTGTCAGGACGGAGGTTCGCTCGACACGTTCGAACCCAGCTCCTCGAGCTACTCGCCAATTCCAGTTTCGGCGGCCCCGCTCGATCGTGGATTCAGCCGGCACCAGGTCTGCGCTTCGCCGATCCGCGGACCTCCTCCTGAGCTCGAGAGCTACCAGAGTGACGAGACGCAGGCTCACGAGGGCCACTAGCAGCAGAGCTACAGCAGCGACACCTACGCCAGCGCCACTGCGTCGTGCAGTCTGTACTTCGACACCTTCGCTACCTCCTCTACGTGACCAGCATGGCGGCGGCGGCTACGCCAGAGGAGAGGGCGGCAGCGGCAGCGCCGAAGGACAAGGCGAAGCCCCCCCCCCACCCCCCCCCAGCCAAGGCTCCGGGCGCCTCCTGGCGTATCCCCCTGGGCTCCTCAGTGGGCTCCAAGGACTCTGGCACCGCCTCCAAGCCAGACAAGGGGGACCCAGTGACGGCCAGGCCCCGCCTGCAACCGCCGCCTCCACGAAAGCCAGCCGCAGGACAGCGTTCGAGCTCCCCACGAGCACCAGTGGCGGCGGACGAGGACGAGCTGCCCCCCGCGGAGGCCGCGGGCGAGGGCGCAGCCGCGGGCGCGCAGGGCCTGCGCAGGAAGCGAAGAGGTAGCCGCAGGGCCGGGCGAGGCGCCCACAGCGAGAAGGTCTGGAGCAGCAAGGACAAAAACCTACTGAGTCTCTTGCGCGCGACGCTGAAGTTGCTGCTCCAGGCCACCCACAAGACACGCCTCAACAACAGCATCGGCATCGACACGTACACGATGAGCAGCAAGCACCCTGTCATCGATGGTGTCTCCAACGAGCTCGAGGGCTACAAGCAGTTACTCGACCAGCTTCGCAGGAGCGGCGAGGACGCCGACAAGAAGAGGCTCAAGGAGATCGGGGCACCAGCACCAGCGCTGGGCACCGCGGCGCTCGAGAGCCTCCAGAAGTGCGACATCGGCGGCCAGCTCAAAGCGGAGATCGCGGAGTACCTGGAGAAAGTGCACCCAGCGGATCCCGAGCAGCTCGACGTGGATATCTCCACGGACGACCTGCAGCTGGCCATCAGCTTCATACGTCTCGAGAGCTGCCTCGACACGGACAAGATGAAGCTCGTCATCGGGGCCCCGACCTGGGAAGGTCGTTCCATCACCCAGCGGGCATTGGCCTCGGAAGGGGCAGCACAGCACCATCGCGGAGTGGTGCCAGCGGGATGGCTCGAGGAGGACGTAGCACATGGGCTGGAGACTCTCGAGCAGTAAAGATACGACTCGTGAGAGGCGAATCCCTGCCAGCGTCCAGCCGCGGTGCGACCGTTCAATCGGAGGTTGGGAGGGTGAGACCGTAGTGAAACGGAGACCCCCCACCGGGAAATCGGTTTCGGTTTCGTGTTCGTGTCGTGCGTGCGGGCGAGGCGAAGCTGCGCGTGATCCTCCTGTAGCTAGGCCGAAGTAGGAGCGAAAGTCCGTTCCCGTCCGCCAGTGGCTGGGAGGTGTCCCATGTGGGCCGGGCGGTGTCCCGGGTGTCCCGGGTGTCAGTAGGAGCGAAAGTCCGTTTCCCGTCCGCCGGTGGCCGGGAGGTGTCCCAGTTGGGCCGGGCGGTGTCCCGGGTGTCCCGGGTGTCCCGAGGTGTCCCGCGGTGTCGATAGTGAGATCGATGTGGTGTCCCGAGGTGTCCCGCGGTGTCCCGTGGTGTTCTATGGTGTCCCGTTGAGTGAAGTCGATAGTGAGATCGATAGTGAGACCGATAGTGAGATCGAGAGGTGTCCCGCGGTGTCCCGTGGTGTCCCGTTGAGTGAGATCGATGATGAGCTCGATAGTGAGATCGACAACTGTCCCGTGGTGTCCCGTGGTGTCCCGTTTAATGAGATCGATAGTGAGATCGACAGTGCGATCGATAGTGAGATCGATGTTGTGTCCCGAGGTGCCCCGGGGTTGTCCCGTGGTGTCCCGTAGAGTGAGATCGATAGTGGGATCGATAGTGAGGCCGATAGCGAGATCAACAGGTGTCCCGCGGTGTCCCGCGGTGTCCCGAGGTGGCCCGTGGTGTCCCGTTGAGTGAGATCGATCGTGAGATAGTGAGATCGATAGTGAGATCGACAAGTTTCCCGTGGTGTCCCGTGGTGTCCCGTTGAGTGAGATCGATAGTAAGATCGATTGAGTCAGATGTTGGTTCCCCCCTCTCCCCCCCCCCCCCACACAACATCCTTATCACCCGAAGGGTGGTCGTATAGGTATGCTCATGCCGCTGCCTCTCTGTCGCCAGTTTCTGTGCCATCAGACTTGCCAGCGCCAGTCAGTAGCACGCCAGTTTCTGTGCCTGCAGCTTCTGGCTCACGCCAGTTTCTGTGCCCTCAGACCAGCCAGCGCCAGTCATAGAGCCGCCAGTTTCTGTGCCTTGAACTTGCTCACGCCAGCAGCTGCAGCCCCGCCAGTTTCTGTGCCACTAGACTTGCCAGCAACAGTCAACAGCACGCCAGTTTCTGTGCCGCAGCCTGCGCCAGTGCCCGCCACGCCAGTTTCTGTGCCTACAGACTTGCTAGCGCCAGCAGCCAGCACGCCAGTTTCTGTGCCCAGCGAGGCACGCAATTTTAGTAGTGACGAGGCCCCGGTGCTAGAGCTTGACACGACCACCGAAGATGAGGCCGCGAACTATCTATTCTCATAGTGCCTCCCACCTTCGTTTCGAGGCAGCGCAGCGCCGCCCCCCTGTGCCAGCGCCCCCGACGCGTGCGGCCCTCGAGCGGGGCAGGACGAGTACACTGGCACTCTGCGGCGGATCAACTGTTACTTTCTGTTCAAGCTGGCTCCAGTTTGATTGGTCCTGATGCCGAGTGAAACATCATCATGTTTATGTTTCTTCTTCTCCTCCTCCTCCTCCTCCTCCTCCTCCTCCTCCTCCTCCTCCTCCTCCTCTTCGTCCTCCTCCTCCTCCCACCCCTCCTCCTCCTCCTCCTCCTCCTCCTCCTCCTCCTCCCTCCTCCCCTTCCACCCCTCCTCCTCCTCCTTCTCCTCCTCCTCCTCCCACTCCTCCTCCTCCTCCCACCCCTCCTCCTCCACCTCCCACCCCTCCTCCTCCACCTCCTCCTCCTCCTGGCGAGGGGCAGAGGAATAGAGCGGAAGGAGCCCTGCCCCTTCCCGCCGCTGCTCCCCCCGCCCTCCCTCCCGGCCGCCGGCGCAGGCCTCCATGGCCTCGCCGAGCCGTCGGGTGCGGCCCGACATGGGCCGCGCCGGCCGCGGCCGGCCGCGGGCCGGCACGCGCGGAGGGGGGCGCGCCCGCGGCTCGGGCCGCCTCCCCCTCCAGGGGAGCGGCGGGGGGCAAGGGTGCGAGTCAAGGGGCCCAGGGACTCGCAGGTTAATGCACACGCATCCAAAGGATCCCGATATGTTCAATATTTTCTCGATTTCCGTCTTCCCCCCCCCACACTTCCCATTTTTTCCTACATTTTCGGGGGATTCGACGATTCTATATATATATATATATATATATACGTGTGTGTGTGTGTGTGTGTGTGTGTGTGTGTGTGTGTGTGTGTGTGTGTGTGTGTGTGTGTGTGTGTGTGTGTGTGTGTGTGTGTGTGTGTGTGTGTGTCTCTCTCTCTCTCTCTCTCTCTCTCTCTTCCCCTCCTGAGCAAGGGAGGAGCATTCAGTACTCCGCATATGAATGCGGCAACCAAGTGCTAGCCTGGCCGCGCTGCCGAGCGCGGCAGGGTGGTTGAGGGGAGGAGGGGAGGGTGGGCAGGGTGGTCGGGAGGGCGAGGAGACAAGGGTGGGTGGGTGGTGGGGGGGGGGACGGGGGGGTCAGGAGGGGATGTGGGAGCACCAGAGAAAGGAAGCATGAGGAATGAGACGAAGCCAGGACAAGGATAGGGTGAGGATAGATCGATCGAGAATCGCTGAGAAGCGGCGGCGGCTCTGGAGGATGTCTCGGGCGCCGCGGCCTTCTCGGAGCGTTCCAGAACGCTCTGAGGGCGTCCCGGAACGCTCTGGAATGGATTTGTCCTCGTCCCAGCCCCGCCCGATGGGAGCACCAGAAGAAATTGAGGCATGAGGAAAGGCGGAGGAGGACGGAGGAAGGAAGTGGGGAGGGGGAGGGCGGGCGGGCGAGGAGGCGAGCAAGGAAGAGACGGGGCCTCCTTCCCCTTGTAGCCGACCTCCTTCAGGAACCCGCCCACTTGCTTCTTGATCTCCTCGTACCTTCGCCGGACCACAGGGCCGAGCTTGCAGGCGCGGATGTCGAGACGCCACCCTCATTCACTGCGCTCATCCCTGACCCTCCTCCTTCTCCTCATCTCACCCCTCCTCCTCCTCATCCTCCGCTTCGTCCTCCTCCTCCCACGTGCATATACTACTCATTATCCTCTCTACCTCGTGCTCCTGTTCCCCTCCGCCATGGTCTCCTTATTCCACCAATGCTAATCGTCATCCTCCTAATGCTGTTCTTGCCCCTGCTCCTGCTCCTGCTCCCGCTCCTGCTCCTCCTCCTCCTCCTCCTCCTCCTCCTCCTCCTTCTCCCCCTCCTCCTCCTCCTTCTCCTCCTCCTCCTCCTCCTCGTACTCCTCCTCCCTTCATGCTGCTGCTGCTGCTGCTCCTCGTCTCCTCCTCGTCTCCTCCTCGTCTCCTCCTCCTCCTCCTCCTCCTCCTCCTGCTCCTCCCCTCCTCCTCCTCCTCCTCCTCCTCCTCCTCCTCCTCCTCCTCCAACGCCTCCTCCTCCACCTCCTCCTCCTCCTCCTCATGGTGCAGCCGATGCGGTCTTGCGAGCGAGGAATCGCGGCGTGACGGTGGAATCGCTCCGCGAACCCACAATGCTACGACAGCGGGCAAATCGGGTCGCCAGATCTCGGCGTCTCTCGTGAGAACACCCAAGCACATGGCCACGAATGAACGTTCAGCGCCGACGGATGGAAGTTAAACGTTAACAGGTGGCCGCCGTATGTTATTGAACTTTCCCTTGGGGGTGTAAGCAGGCTGCCCTACAGCATAGCAGCTGAGACGGGGCCTGGTTGAAGGACGGCGGGGGCAAGTGGCATGGGTTATTGTCAGGATAGGGCTGGCGGGCGAGCAATTGAACCATACATACTGGTCACCATCACATTCCCCTCCTCCGCCTCCTCCTGGGGGTGGGGTGGTGGCATCCTGGCAGAGTCGTAGTCGACGGACGGATGGTCCATCTTAGACACTATCACGGCGATGTTCTTGATACCTGATGGACCAGACAAAGGAGCAATGGGGGTGTAGCCTCCGTCTTCTCCTGATCCTCCAGCTTTCGCGGCCTCATCCTGTCTGCTCCTCCTCCTCCTCCTCCTCATCCTCATTATCCTCCTCTTGCTTCTCCTCCTCCTCCTCCTCCTCCTCCTCACCCTCCGCCCATGAGAATGGGAGGATGAACACAAGCAGGAAGCAAACACGTACAGCCGAGAATAGGATCAATATAGTTATCATGTAAGACAACTGGGCCAATTCCTCCAAGGCTTCTAAAACAAGTCTGGGCCAACTCCTGTTGTTGACTCTGGAGCGGCGAACCTGCTCAAGAAACCTGGCCAGTTTTCCGGCAAGCTGGTCAAGAATTGCTGGCCCAACTTTTCTGGAGTAGGTTTCTTACTCATATGCTCGACCGTAGTAGATTAAGCTAGGTGCGCTCTCGTCATATCGGGCATGCGCCTCCGCCGCCGGCTGGGGCGTCTTTGGAGGACCTTTACACCCCAAATGCCATCATCTTCATCATGCGATGCGCAAACAAAGGGGGGGGGGCTTGTACGCTGGAAGGGAAAATGGCACATGAAGAACAGAAACGGGATGAGGCATGAGGGGGATGAGGGAGGAGGGGGAAGAGGAGGAGGGGGAGGAGGAGGAGGAACGAACGAACGAACGACCACCAACACGGACAACAGTCCGGGCCTACTGGAGACCAGGTGAATGAGGCCGTGGCCTCTGAAATAGTTTTGTGTGGTGAGGCGCGCATGCGATACGTGTAAAAAGTTATGTGAAACGGAGGGGAGGGGAGGAGGGGAGGGAATCCTTGTAGTCGATGTCGTGGTATGTTGGTGTCACGTCGCTGGCTAGAATCTGTATTGGTCGTCTGTGCTGGGTTTGGTGTTGGTGTTGGCGCAAGGCGCCGGTAGTCGGTGTTGTAGTCGGTGCTTGTGGTCGCGTGGTCGGCCGTCAGTGCTGCATGGCTAGAATCATGCAGCGACAAAGGCTCTCTCGAGTGAGTTCCACCATGCCGTCCGTGTCGCAGCTGTGAGCCACCTTACATCGTTGGTGTCGCGGTGGAGGCATCGTCGTGGTTGGGTGGCGTCGTCGTTGGCGTCGCGTTATGTGTCGTCGTCGCCTGTCTGTCGATGCACATTGTGTAGGAACTTTCGCAAATCGTCATCCCATCGCTTGTGCTGGCCACCGTGCTGTCGATAACCCTGTTGTTTTGTGTCCCTATTGGGGCACCATTTCAAAGCTCGCTTTGTCCACCTGTTTGTTGGGTGGGTCGCTACGCGTGCTGCCCACTGCCAAACCATTTTGTGATGCATTTGGGTGACGTCTGGGATGTCGTGCAAGATGTAGTCATACCAGAGTTCGGCATCGTCTGCCGCCTGCTGGCGTGTCTGGGTCGTGTGCGGTGGGTCGATGCTGTCGTCACTTGTTTTGGGTGGGTATGATGGAGTCGGTGGGTCGTTGGCAGCGTCGTGGTCGCTGGAGTCGTCAGAAGCGTTGCCGTCGAGATCATCGTTGTCACAATCACCCGTCACTGGGATGGCATGCGTTGACGCAGCTGCTGACGTGTGCCGCCGCGGTGTCCCGATAATCGCTCTGACCATCCGTCGTTGCGTGCGGCGCAACTGCTGTCTCAGGGGTTCTGTTATTGTCCATGACTCTGCGCCGTACATCATTGTGGGCATGACGGTGCCACGGTACAGTCGTAGTCTGTGTTTGAGTGGGTAGCGTTTGCTCGTTAGTTCCTGTCCGTGCCCTGCGAAGCACGCCCATGCCGCTTGGTTGCGATGCTGGATTTCGGTCGCCGATGCGTCTTGAAAAATTATGGTCTGGTCGAGATATTTCAGCGTTCCGGAAGGTGATCATACTTCGATGTCCATGGTTGCAACTCTCGCCGAACGCGTCCGGGTCCTGGTTCGGTTTGTCATGATCATTGTTTTGGTCGGGTGTATAGCAAGGCCGTGAGGAGCTGCTGCCTTGATTAAGTCCCCAAGCAGTGTCTTCAAATTGGGTAGTGTCTGAATGACCAGGCGGATGTCGTCGGTGTGCGCTAATTGTATTCCTCGTCGTCGCTGCCAATCCTGAATGAGAGGTTCCAGGGCGTGCTGCAGTAGAGCGTTAAAGAGCAGTGAGCTCAAAGGGTCTCCTTGTTTTGTGCCACGTCTGAGCTTGAAGGGTTTGCTGGTAGAGTCGGTGCGGCTGGAGCAGGTGGACGTATTCGGATTGCACGCCTTGTCGTCGTAGTGCTGTCCATAGGCTGCTGTGCTCTACTGTCGAACGCTTTCTTAAAGTCTACGGCAGCAATCCACAGGGTCTGGTTCCATTCGGAAGCTCGCTCTCGCAGGATGTTGAAAGTGAAGAGGTGGTCGAGCGTGCCGCGTCCAGGTCTGAATCCCGCTTGGTCGTCGGGCTGGCGTTGTTCAAGGACTGGCTGTAATCTGTTGTAGAGCAGACGATTGAATAGTATGTATAGCGTGGGTATCGCACAGATCGGGCGGTAATTCTGTGGAAGAGATAGGTCGCCCGATTTGGGGATAACTGTGATCGATGTTTTCCTCCAGCTTGCTGGTGTGGGGGCGTTCGGTTTGAAGACGGTGCTGTAAAGCTGCAACAGGGCATCTTGAAGTTCCAAGCATGGTTTCTTCAGCATTTCTGCTGTGATCCCTTCGGTGTCCCATGACTTCCCCAACTTGAGTTGCGAGATTGCTGCGTCGAGCTCTTTCACCGTAAAGGGTGTGATGTGCTGATGGGCGTCGGTCGTGCTTGGTGCTGCGTCGACGGTGTCGGTGGACTTGTACAGCTCCTCGTAGAACGTCGCGAATACATGAGCAATGCCTTGACGAGTCGTGTGATTGGTGCCGTCGTTACCAACCATTTCCGTGATGAGCGTTCGTCTCCTTCTCATCTTGATGAAACTGATGCGCTTGTTGATGTCTGTGTGTAGTTCGAGGATGGTGCTGATCTGCTGTCGTCGTTTGGTGCGTTTCTGTTGTCGAATGTGTTTCTGTATTGCTTTGCTAATCGTCCGCCGGCTGTTTGTGTCTGCGTTTGGGATACGTCTGCGCTGCTCCACAAGGTTGGTGATGATGTCGTCGAGGTTGGTGGTGTCGTCGTAGTTTTTTGTATTGCTTGTCGCACTGGTTTGTGCTTCCCTGGGGGATGTGCTGTGCAGCGTGGCGTCGTTCAAGCTCTTCTCGATTGTTTTGTTGAGATCGTCGGGGTCAGCTGGTAGTACTTCGGGTTGCAATTTGGAGCCCAATAACGTCGATACTCGTTGGGGGCGGTCAGTCGTCGTCCATGCTTGGTGGCATGCCTGGCCGGTCGTTGTTGTCTGTGTGTGCCGGAACCCAACAATTTGAGGCGCATGTGCAGAAATACCGCCTTGTGGTCGGAGTTAAGGTCAATGGCGTTGCTGGCTTCGGCGTTCCAGCATGAAAATAGCAAGCACCTGCCCACTAGAATGTAGTCGTACTGCCGGGGTTTGCCGCCTGTCGTTGTGTAGGTGATCAGTCTGTCTGGGCGTTTGCGGAAAAACGTGCTCACGATTGCAAGCGTCTCGCTCGTCGCCCAATATCGTAACCATTGGCCTCGGGAGTTTTCGTCGCCGAACCCGTGGGCCCCACGTAGTGAGAACAGATGTCGGATCGGGGTTGCGCAAAGTCAGCGTCGTCATTCGGATGTCCATTCGGGGAGCGTGGTGGGGAACCAACTTGGGCGTTGAAGTCGGCACCCGTGATTGTGCGCATGCGTCGGGAACGTGCTTCACTGAGTAGGGCGCTGGCGGTGTCGTACAACTGCTGGATGTGGTGGTCCGTATACCCAGTGTGCGGAAAGTATGCCGATATCAGTTGTAGTCGAAGCTTCCTCTTCCTGATGTTGAGCGCCGCGATTCCTGCATTGATGGCCTGGAACTCTGACACGTGTTTGGTCCAACGCTTGTGCAAAAGGATTGCGACTCCGTGGGAACGACTCTCGTTGCCAGAACCCGCGAACGTGTGTCCATCTGTAGTGATCCATAATTCACGTTCTATCGTCCGCCACGTTTCGTTTATCAGAACTGCGTCCCAATGCAAACCACGTAAATCATGCAAAAGTTCATCGATCCGGTCGGTCGTCTCCAGAGATCTAAGCATTTTTGTGGATGACTGTGAAATCGATGATGCCAGACTCGTCGCAGTTTGCCTCTTGATGCGTCGGATCGGGTTGGATCGAGGGGGAAGGACAGGGGACGGGGGAGGGGAGGGAGGCGGGAGGGGGGGGAGGTAGAAAGAGGGTTGGTCGACGCTGTTGGTCTGTGGTCGGTGGTGAATGGTGATGGGCGCTGTGAGTCTGTTGAGGTCGGCGCTGCTTGTGGTGGTTCTGGTCGGTGGTGGTCAACAGTGGGCGGTGGTGGGTGCTGCTGGTCGGTTGGGGTCGGTGCTGCTTGTGTTGTCGCTGTCCCGTGGTGGTCGGTGGTGGGGGTTGGCGCCTGTTGTCTGTCGGTTGAAGTCGGTGTTGCTTGCTGTGATGCTGGTCGGTGGTGGTCGGTATTGGGTGTTGGTGGGCGCTGCTGATCGGCGGATGAGGAGGAGGAGGAGGAGGAACAGGCGGAGAAGGGGGAGGAGGGGGAGAAGGACGAGGAGGATGAGGTGGAGGAGGAGAAGGAGAAGGAGGAAGAGGCGGAGGAGACGCAGGCCCAATGAACTCCGCAGCCAGCCGAAACTAACTAGGGAGCCACGAGAGTAAACGGCGGCTACCCTAGCCGCGTGGGGTCACCGCTTAAGGGAAGCCCCGTTCGCGGGTGACGGCCGGCCTTGAGATTCCGCAGGGCCGTGAGACGAGCATGGCTGACCTCCCAAGTGACACGCCCCTCACAGAGCGACTTCAGCACTGGAGATTGCTGTTTGGCGGACGACCCACCGCAATTAAGACAGTAAACGAACGGACCAGCTGAAACCATATGGTGCCCATTTACAAAGTCGAAGGGCTGGCCCATGCTAGACGCGGAATTTGGAG